ATTATTAATTTTTTATATATATTACCTATGAACTCGGTTTTCATGAAAACCAATTTGTACATTGATGAAATTTCCCGAGATTAAATAAAAGACATCTCTCTCTCTCTCTCTCTCTCTTTTTAAATGCCAAATTTTTGTTTGGATACCGGTGATAGCCCAGTTGCAAAATGCTTTCTTTTTTTTCTTCTGTTCCTACATGACAAAATTGACAAGTTCCCAGTATACATTGCGACATCGGTCAATGGAAATATCGATTGGTTCAGGCTTTGACACCATAACAACACGTCGTTTACGTATAATTGACGCTCTCACATTCTAGACTGACAAACTTTGACAAATTTTGGAAATTGCAAGCATACCCTATATGGCGCTTTATTGTGAAGCTTACGGTCGAAATCTTGCACTTTTTACTCGCCAGAGTTGCTTTATTTATACACGGACGTCTCATCAGTAAAAGTACATAAATAGATAATTACGGAAAAAATAAATGCGATAAATGATAAAAACAGTATTTGAATAACTTCTTTACATGGGTGTCGTGTAAAGGTTACCGAAGTCCTTGTTCGTGGCTAAATGGTTTTTGAAATAGGGCCCTAATAGAGGCCCTTAGGGACTTTGCCTTTCTTAATTCAATCACGGGCAGGCCATTCCATAAGAAGGTCCCTGCATAACAATTTTTTTCCCCAAAAAAATTACTTCGTGGTTAAGGGGAAGGCATGTTTTCTTTTGTTGTCCATCAAAGCGAAATTATAAAAGCCGGTCGAACGATTTACAAATTTGGAATTTGTAGAAAAACTATAATGTTAATGAATATTTTCTGAGTGAAATACATTCACTTCTTCAGCCGAGTACATTTTCATGATCATGACACCGGGGAAGTTTGGGAAATTTGACAAGTAGTGTGAGACATACTTTTTGATACTTTTTAGTAGAGGACATGGACCTTTGTCACATGGCGGGCATGTTAATTCTCATGAGAATAAAAAACCTTTGTTTTCTCAGCATAAATTCATTCTCAAGCGCTTGAATACCAATTTGATCAACTGGTATTTTCGTAAGCTCACCTGAACTAAGTAAGTGCGACGTGCATTCTGAAACCAGCACCTCCACTATTCAGGCCCTTAGGTTTTTAGCTGCACTATTTTTAATATCTCGCATTTTTCGAAGCTTGGTAGCCGAGCCTTCAATTTGAATTGTTTTGAAATATGCAAATTTCAGAAAGTTGATTTTTAAAAGTAATGTTTTTCAAATAACTAAATTAATGCAAGAATCCTGCAAACAACAGGACCACGCCTAAAAAGGCTGCAAATATCAGCATTAAAAAATCATTTTTTGAACCCTTCTGTATTTGTTAGATCCACCTGATATTGACGCAGAAAAGTCCAATCGCACTTCAAAGTCTTGGAAAGGTAAAAGTATTCGACTCAGATGCTTTGCAACTGGTTTACCTGCACCAAGGATATCATGGTACAAACCAACAAAACAACAGATCACTACAGGTGTTAACATTGTACCCGGGGGCAGTGAGGTAACAGTAATGACAACTGCTGACCAAGGGGACTATGGACAGTACAAGTGTCGAGCAACAAACATCCTGGGAAGTGATGAACACGTCATCAATATTACTCAACTGTGTAAGTATTTTTAAGACTTAAAGTCACTGCTATAAATACAGTTTCATTGCAGATTGAAGATTAACGTATGGCGTAATCCATTAAAAAAATAACAGATAAAACGTTGCGCGAGTGACCACGAAAGAAGAAACGGAATTATAAAATGCTACCTGTTATAAAATGTTTAACTCATGAAACTCACGGTTTATATTCATTCCATCACATATCGATATATTTACCTAGTTCCCCCAGGTGTTGTTACTATAACCACAGCTGAGGTCGAAGCATCGTCCATAACTGTCGGATGGACCAAACCTGCTGATGATGGTGGACTCGTTGTCACTGCTTACAAGGTTGAAGTCAGTACCAAGACCCCAGTGATCACAGTAAATGCCCATACTATTATAACAGGATTGAAAGCAAACACACAGTACACGGTCAAAGTATATGCAATGAATGATGCTGGTTATGGTAACGCATCGGTGAAGTTTATTACTACCAAGAAACAAGGTGATTTCAAAATGCTTATCATCACTTACTGTTTGAAATAAACCAATAAAACATATAGGTAATGCAAATGGATTCATAAATCCTGTATGGATCGTGCAAAGCATGCCAAGACGATTACAACAGCATAGTAATGGAAGAAAAATCCTAAAATGTGTTCGATAGCAGTTTACAATACGCATTTTTTTTCTCCTTGAATAATTGCATCATAAAAACCGTACCCATGCAACCTTTTGAATTATAAACTTAGCGCATAATCACTTTACAACTACATTAATGTCCAACACTTCGAAGCATAGATACAATGGAATTTGCTTGCTTAGTTTTTTTCCCCCAACACTTTTATATTGCAAATGCCTTCATATTCTAAGAAATATATAGACATAGAAGGAAGAAAGAAAGAAAGAAAGAAAGAACTAAAGAAATTTTTATCATTCCTGTTTCTAGGCAAACCGGCATTACCTCAGCTAAAGTTAACTATTGACCAAACAAATGGGTTAATAGTCAAATTATCATGGACAAAACCTGATGAAAATGGTGGTGAAATAACAAATTATACCATTTACATGAAGGAGGATGGATCTTCAAAGCTAAGGGATATTCATAATATATTAGATCCAGAATTACTGGAGTACGAAGTGAAAGAGAACCTTGAGTATGGAAAAACGTACAAGTTCTTAGTTACTGCGTGGAATAAGTACGGGGAAAGTGCTAAACAAGAAGAACTTGCTAAAAAAATAGAGATTCCCAAAGAAAAAACCAAAACTGGTAAGTTAGTAAAAAAGAGCATTAACATATTTTCACTACCGACAATTTATGCCTCCTACCCTAGTTCCGCTCTGCCCGGGAGCAAAAAGATGCAAAAAAGAAGCCAGGAAGAATAAGCCTCAGAGAATGTAAAGTAAAAACGATAAAATGCGCATAACGTCATAGCAACAACTGTGAAAGAATGCATTATCCATGTAGGTTGAGCAAAAACATTTCTAAAGCTCGAGGACCATAATAGACCACTAACAGTACTTTGTATTGAGTAAACGCATTAAGACAATGTCATTGTTGATTATGTAAGTTGTGATAATTTATGTTTTCCTCTTTAGAACAGCAAACGCCAGAGCGAGAATATATAACCTTTGGACCCCAGGGTATTAGCGTCTTGTGTGATTTTCTCTTTTTTCACAATATCAAATCAGAATAGAACCGCGAGAAAAGTTATGAATAGAATCATAGTACGGCATTTTTGGTCATTCAAATCGAAACAAAATCGATCTCGTTGGGTGGAAAGAATGCAAAAACCAGATAGATAAATACATGATATTATATAAATTTAAAGAGGCACTTGGATGAAAACGCCCCAATTTTTGAAAGTCCAAATAATTGAAGTATATGAGGATAAATCTGTGTGCCATTTGCAGTTGAGAAATTTTGGTTTAAAAGCAAAAAGAACAATAGAATTGAGAAAATGACGTCATTTAATCACAATTTAGTTGCTTAATAAAGCTGATATTTTTCATACCCCACTTTTGACTGTAAAGAAATATGTTGCTTGGCTACTACTGGGGCCATATAGATAAGTTTAACCACGTTTCAAGTCATTTCCAATTTTCATCGATTTTCATCCAAGTGCCCCTTTAACTCCTCAGTTTGTATACACCAAAATCAAAAATCGGTGTCGGGTTCAAATGGTTAAATCATCGAATATAACACTAAGGGGTGTTTTAGGTAGTCAATATGATGTGCATTATTTCCCTGTCGCGAATGTTGTCTCGATCTGTATCTATGAAAACAGTGGTTTATGGTAGTTAAGTGTGTGTTAACCAAAAAGTTAGGATACATGTCAACATATGTCTTAAATAGAGCTTTTACCCTGTGACGTATTTCGGGTCCAACTACTCGCAATGCCAGCTAATATGAAGCTGTTTTGAAAGCATTCGACGCTTTGAATGTTTTCAACGGTTTAAACTTCGCATGAAACAATTACAACTATGGGCAACAAGTTCTGTCACGAAGAAAATGTATGAAAATCTTTACAGAACTGCTTTTCATGAAATTGCACCCGGAAGTCGTTTTTCCAAACGAGTGACCGACGTCACACTTAGCTCTAGCAGCGTTTAGTTGTTCCCAGTAAGCATTAACTAACATTGTATCGCGTTTTATATTTTAGATCCAAACAAAGGCAAACGCACCACTAATGTTGACGGAGAATCCAATGCTGCAGTGATTCCTGGTGTAGTAGGAGCTGTCTTGTTTATGTTGTTAGTTGGAATCATTCTTGGTGTCATTATTATCAGGAAAAAAGGCCTGCTAAGCAAAGGTAAGGGATCGGGTATGTCATGTTATAGAACTGTATCATTCTACAGCCATTTTTGTTTCGGTGAGAATCAAAGCCTTTTACCTGAGCAAACTCATCCCGAAGTGCTTGAATGCGGGGCTAACCGGGCCAAGACCTGATTCGTGCCAGCCAACATGACCGCTGCGTTGAAAGGTCTATGTCTTTGTCAAGGAATGAGTCCGAGTCTCAATGTTGCCAACAACAACAACGACAACAACAAAATAACAATAAACATGACAATGCGAAGGAGAAGGAGGAGGACAATGAGAATGAGAATGAGAACGAGATTGCGAATGAGAATGCGAATGATGATGATGATTATTACGATAAATGAATAAAGCATTAAGCTGAAGAAGGAGAAGAATATAAGTTTTGTGAAGTAAACTGTAAATGGTAAGGTCTGCATGATCGACCTATTGGTTTAGTTAGGCCAAGCTTCTTTTTAAGTAGGACTGAAAGCAGTACTTCTATTACCCTTCACTGCTTGACCAGTGTTTGCTTTAAGCATTGCTTTTTTAAAAATTGATTTCCATTGTCAAATTGCCACTACGGTGGGACTCACCGAACCGTATTTTCCCAAGAATTCAAAAAAACGTGTTTATCATGCAGTCAGACAACGTTTTGCATAGTCGTTCGCCCGTTTACATCGTTTATGCAAAGCATATGCCCACTGTTTGCTCAAAGATTTTTGACCATTTTATTCCCTCTCTTTTTCTCCACTTTATCATATTTTCTCCGAGGACTCATATTTCCTGCAAGACATTTTTTTACATAAACGAAGAGAACAACAAAACTACTGGTATGCCCAATACTCATAAACACGTTCCTTTCCTTTCGAGGGTGAAGGCATTGTTTGTCGCCAAGAAATGGGGCTAAAGGAAATTTAGGCAAAGTTAAAGTCAAGGCACGCTGACCAGCGGTCTTCGGTTGCCGCGGGGACGCCTTCAGGGGCTTCGTGGCGCGTGGCATGCTACGTTTGTATATCGTCGCGGATCAAAACGTTGCGCTCAATTGCTGCTTTTTATTCCTCCCGCCCACCCGTCAGGGATTGGTTTTAACAGGTAAGTATTATTCTCCACTGACTCGGTCAGTGTGGATGGTGCCTGGAGGTGGAAAGGGTTGCGTGGCCATGGTTACAGTTTTCAGGGACCCCCCTCCTATTCATCAGTGCCGATGAGCTCAACACGATGTTGAACCCGTAGTATCTAAAACCTGCAAGCATTTGAGGACTCGATATCGCTGTCCCCACATTTAAAGCTGGCGTTGTCAAACGGCTACACCCTAGCAGAGGTTTTGAAAGTCCTCTTTTTTTCTTCATTTTTTAAGTCCTGCACGCATGTATTAGTTGAAACTGCAACAAAGAAAAAGTATTCGTTTTTGGCGTAAATCTAGATTGGGCATAACGGTCAACTGATAAGTATTACAATAATTAGACAAAAAGAATCTAATTAACGTTTCGTGTGGCAGGTTTTGGAAGAAAGAGTCCAAGTAACAGGTAAGCCAATTTGACAGGTTTTGTTCAGCGTATCTCCAATCTCCCTTTGGAAAATACGTCATTGTTAGAAAAAAATAATAAATGAGGGGAGTGGGGGAGTAAGGAAAGAAGGAAAGATTGGAGAAAGGAAGGAAGGGAAAAACGAAGAAAAAGAGAGAATAACTTAATGAAAGAAAGAAAAAGAATAAGTAAGAAAGAAAGAGAGAGAGATAGAACGAACAAATAAATGAACGAACGATTGAGTAAAATTAAGGCAATAATAGAGAAAGAAAGAAAGAAAGGAAAGAAAGAAAGAAAGAAGGAAGGAGTGAGTGAGTGAGTGAGTGATACTTTATTTATACTCGAAAAAAAATTCTATCAATATAAAAATTGCTTTACAAGAATGTCGAGTTAAATAAGAATACAATTTAGACAGCTAAAAAAGTTTATGAGAGTCCAACAGAAGAAAGCTTTCTTTTAAATTCCCTTATACTTC